CCCCATCAAAGCTGGTGTCCCTCAGGGCTCAGTACTTGCTCCTCTCCTGTACATCCTGTTCACTAACGACATTTCCATCCCGTCGAAAGGTGTTCAGCTCTCCCTCTTCGCAGATGACACTGCCCTATACTGTAAAGGTATCTCGCTACCTTTTATACGGAACAAGATCCAAAAGTCAGTTGATGACCTAGGAGCATGGTTCCAAAAATGGCGCATCGATGTGAACCCGGAGGAGAGCTCCGCCGTTCACTTCGATTATAAACGACGCCGTCTCAAAAACACTCCACCAATACGTATGCTAGTGACCCCTGTCCCCTGGCATACGTCTGCCAAATATTTAGGCCTTGACACAAGGCTCACTTTCAGGCCCCACGTCAAAAGAGTAACCTGTCACGCACGTTTTTACCTGAGTAGGCTCAACAGTATGTTGGGCCGACACAGTAAAATGTCCCTCAGAAACAAGCGTACCCTTTATAAGGTCTGTATACGACCAGTCATGTCCTAAGCGGGCCCCATTTTTGCCCACGCTGACCCTAAAATTATTAATAAACTCCAAGTAGTTCAAAACGTATTGTCGAGCTGCGAACGCACATTGGTACGTCCGTAATGCCGACCTTCATCGGGACTTAGAGCTCCCTACAATCCAACAATTCCTTAAAAAAATCTCAGAAAACTTCTTCAAAGCCTCAGAGTCGTATTCCAATCATTTTATTCGTGAGGCAGCTACTTATGCAGCCCCACCCCCCTCTCGCTATCGAGTCCGCAGGCCAAGAAACACTCTCTCGGACCCGCCAAATAAAATTTCAACTGACCTTAACTGCCTCCTGGCGGCTCAGGCCGATTCTTTTTTAATTTGCCTAAGTAGGCTCTTCCTCAGCGGCTCTTTATAGCCGCCTGCGCCCTCTTATCCCAAAAGAGGGTCGCTTCCGATCTGACAAAGCGGCTTAATAAGCCAATTGTCAGTCCCACAGGTGATTTTTAGCGGGTATCACTTAGGTCCCACGTAGGTTAGTCACAGTGAGTCCCCCATAACTACGACAGACCGGCTGTCGTGGTATGCATAAAGCATTTACCGCCTCCCTGCGTATCGGGGTAGCCCTTTTCCAATTGCTTCTGGGCGCAAAAAAAAGTCTAATAAGATACTTAAGTAAGAACTTTATTACGCTATATCCCTAGGGATATAACTATATCACGGCCTTAACTATCTTACTGCGACAGATATAAGACATCGAATTAAATAACTTTGAAGACAATATCGTAATTTCTTCTCGAAATGCATGAAACGGAATTGCCCTCTAACGGACGAATATACAAATGTCCTAATGCATGCGCACAGAGACGTCCTTTAAAAACATGAAAATTGGGCTCTGTAGTCCTCAAAATATGTAAATGCAGTGATGAATTTAGGTAGTTCAAGGAAGTTGGTTAAGATTAACTATAGAAACCTTGAACCTGTGGTTTTCAATGGGATATTGAATCATTTTAATGAACCATAAGTTAATCTCGGCTTGGATATAGATCAAGCAATGAACTGGGGATTGCATATTTCTGAAATAAGCCGTAAAGTTGTTGCTACCCTGCGTTATCGTCAGAAAAAAATATTTTCCTTCAAAACTAAGGTTATGTTGGTTAAATCCCCCGTTCTTCCATTTATTGATTATGCTGATGTGTGCTATCTGGACCTATCGCAAAATATTTTCTACCTATCGTTCTAAGCTTAAATGGATCACTATACGTCAAAGGCGTTGCTCCAGAATTTCATTGACACTTTTTCCATCTTAAATGATCCTAATTCTCCACCATATTTTAAAGAAAACTTCTACTTTCTCTACTCTATTTATGGCCGTGAACCTCGTCCTTCTAACGCACTTAAGATTTGTATTTCAGAACATAGAACAACATTTTTTATTTCTTCTATCGCAGTTCGGTTGGTATATATATCTGCGTGTGTGTATGTGTGTAATTTTATGTGTATTGTATTTATATAATGTACTCGTATTTAGGTAGTTTTGTATTATGTAACGTATTTTTTCGTCATTCATTCTTTCTACATGACCAAACGTCAAGAGAGGAGTGTCAAAACTACTTGTCGCATTTTTTGATCAAATATCCCAATATTTCTGCTTAAATATCATCATCATCATCATCGTTATGGTAGACAGTGCACCCAATTGTCGCCTTAAAAAAATTAATAATTTCGGTCCCTCAACAACTTTCATTAACATTATACTGTACCTACTTCTTCTTCAATCTATGCTTGCATCAGACCCTTAAAAGACAACAAAGGTTGTGTCTGGAAGAAATCCAATTCATATTTAAAATTGTACTTATACTTGTATTTCATATTATGGTGTATACTGTGTTCCTCATTAACATATGATTGATGTGAATCCATAATTAAGCCATCATTGCCTTACTGTTTTTTTTATAGATTAATAGCAAAAAGCGAGCACACAATCCATCTGATTGTAAACAGTGAATTTTCGATTAATAATCAAAATGCAGATCGTTTTCACCCTTAGTACTAAGATGGTTTCACGATACAAAATCCAGCAGTGTTAAGCTGCTCGCGTCAACCTATTCGTACTGCAAACACAACAAAGCTATAGCGTGGCTCTACGACTTAAAAAACTTGGACAACAATACTATGAATACATATATACTATAGATAGAGAATATTCTGCTATTATATTTATGTTCTGTTTGGACAATATTTTTAACTGTTAACCGCAAGGACTGTTTACTGTTTTTATACGTAGCCATGCTGCAGCTATATTATGGTTGTAGCACGAATCGGTCGGCTGGACCGGGGAAGGACCACGCTCTCACAGAATACCAGCGTAAAATAGCAGCTTAACGCTGCTGTGTTTCGTATGGTGAGTGTAGAGAACCGGAGACTCTTTTTACTGGAAACGAGGCGATTTTGGTTCTCACGGGTGACAACGCATCTGCATTTTAATTCGTATTGAAGATAGATGTAGATGTCTATGGGCCGCAGCAACAACTTACCATCAGGTGGACTGTGTGCTTGTTTGTCACCCTTATCTTATAAAAAAAAATACTGTTTCAAAATATCAATAGACTACTAGTATACCAGGTGTTATACCTCCTTTTCTACCTAGGAATTCCTCTGGATTGTTACCAACGTCTTACTTATGTCTACCTCAAAGCAGTAGAGTGTGCACTGCCGTGTTCCAGTCTGAAGCGTATAGAGAGTCAGTATAATTACGTGCGATGACATGCTGTGAGACATCTTTTTATCTTACTCCTCAAAAGTGACAACGTATATGTAGCCTCCTTTATTTGAAGATGTTTATAGATGTCCACAAGCTGGCTAACTACTTACCATTAAGTGACTTCGTTTCTGCGGGTTTCTTTTTCCACTTTAATATTTTTAAAAAAAACCGGCAAAGTGCAAGCCGGACTCGCGCACCGAGGGTTCCGAACAAATCTGTAGGTATATAAGTTTAAAATTATTAAAAATATTTTTATTATATGATATAACTAAAAATGTATGCTTTTCGCAATTTTTCCTTTATCTGAGCTATAAAACATTGCTTCGTACCAATTTTCAAGATTCTGAGTTCACGGGAAGTACCCTGTAGGTTTTGATTCCCTTGCGAATGTCGAAAATTTACGGCATAAACGGCTGTATTTGATTGCGTTGGCTTAGCAGTTTGATTTTTTCAAAGCTCTAAGGGACAGTAGACTTGAGTATTTGATATGAATTTCAGCTTGATACCTCCACGCGTTCCTGAGAAAAAAGGTCTTGACAGAGAGACAGACAGACAGACGGACAACAAAGTGATCCTATAAGGGTTCCGTTTTTTTCCTTTTGAGGTACGGATCCCTAAAAATAAACGTCAAAATTCGCTAAACAGTTTAGACAGAACCAAACAATGCCTAAACCGCAAATTTGTGGTTTTTTTAAGTGTTTTTTTTTAAACGTTTATGTCGCTACTTATATATTCTTTATTAATTTAACGAAGTTTTTGTACGACTAAAATTTTTAAACAATCGCCTTCGTTCGTAACCTGCAAGCTTTGTTTCTTCATGCGAAATACTTAATTAAATGCAGTGTTAAAATTACAACATATCTTATCAACTATCAAGTACGCCTTAACTTACTATAGTTATCAGGGACATCTACATCACTTAATATTTTGTATTATGTTCAAGAAAACCATTAAGAACGATAAATAATAAATAATTATGGCTATCTGAATAACAATATCCATAAAATTCAAATTAATTTCAAATTTATAATAATTGATAATATTATATCCTTTGACAAACTAACAAATTAAATATAGGCTCTGATATCATCTGTGTGATCATGGTGTAATAATATTCATTACCCCATATCATCCGGTAAGTAGTGTAACAGGTGACAGAGGGAAACTGAAACAGTTGATCGGTAGCAGCATTTTTCTGATAACTGCCTAAAATTATAAAAGGAAGGATGGAAAAGAGGATTTTGCCATGGAAAGGAGGATTATGCTACGCTTGGCGAGTAGGTGTAAGCAAATTAATGTAAGCAATGAGGAGTTTGACTCATGTGGCAAATTCCTCCTATAAGCAAATCTATAGGGAGGACTACGTTCAACGGTAGCTGTGTCCATCAACAGTGGACTATTAAAGGCTGTAATGGATGGATATTCTGGTATATTTATATATTTAATACCAAATCACGTTCAAGGTCAAGATACTTTAAGTAAAATAAAACACTCAAAATATCCTAAGTAATCAACACACACAAAACACTCAAAACACACGAAAATTTCAAAAACTAAACAAACATAATATCTAATCATATAATATAGTACATAAATAGCGAAAAAAATCTAAAGTTCAGTTATTTATTGGGAAAAGTTGATGTTTCATTATAATATGGAATGAATTTTGTAACGTAGTCCGATGCGTATATATAAAGAGGAGGGAAGTTACACGATCATCATTCGAGAAGTCACCTCCGACCCAGTGTCACACACATTGCAAATATGCAGCTGGTGAGTTGACTTTTTAAAGATTTATTGATAGGCGTTCTCAAATATTTGATCGTTTTTATTGTTGCATAACTCAGAATGTTTGTGATATGTTTGTGGTTTGATCGATTATGCATTCAGATACAGCGAATAATTAGTTTATTTTTTATTTAGTTTTTTGCTCTTTTATTATTAAGTTATGTACTCGTAGTAGTTAGTGTACACTTGTCAGTTGCATTCACTATTTTAGGTTTAAGTTTTTACATTTTTGATGATTTACTGGGCTATTATATTTTATGAAAAAAATTAGATTCCTTTAGAGTATATACTTTATGATATATTATATACGTTATGAAAAATCAAATTTATATGTATTAAACATAATATTTAATACTAAAAGTGTTCACAGTTGTATTAAACAACCGATTTATTTTATGAGTTTGTGACTGTTAAAGAAAATCCCAAAAACAGTAATTTTATTTGGTTTTTTATCTTTAGTAAATAACAGAAAGTAAAAAAGAGTTTATTTTATATATACTTTATATATATTACAAAAACGTGTAAGGTGCAGTACAATTTCTTCAGAATAATGTTTATCCAATATCATTTACTCTTTTTGAAACAGAATTAACATGTGATTGTTGAGTGTTGCCAGATATTCGAACATAATATTTATTCATAACGTACGGATTAAACACTGTTTTAATGACAGCTCGTGCTGATTTACACAAATTACTCTTACAATCTAGATGTGTCTGATAGCATTGAATGAATTTTAAGAACAATGGAACATGCATTTGTGTAGCTTTTTGCTTTAATAAATAGAATGCGTCCGTTGTTTAATATACATACCATTAGTAATGGTTATAGTGAACATGTTTATGATAATATATAGATACAATTTAAAATTAAACAAATTGTACAACCGACTTCAATACAAATTATTAAGAATAACTCAAAAACTATTGGTCAAACCTTGATCAATTTTATCAAATTTATATGAGATCACACGTGAAGCACCAGCTTTTAAATAAAAAGAATCATCGAAATCGGTTCACCCAGTAAAAAGTTATGAGGTAACACATATAAAACATATAGTCGAATTGAGTACCGTCTCCTTTTCGAAGTCGGTAGAAAAAGTAGGTTACTCATCACGTTACAAATTTAATTTTAGTTAAGTTTGATGCCCAATGTCCAGTATTTCTAGCATTGTAATTTAAGGATTTTAAAAGACAGCTAACACGCACCGGGATATCAGGGCGGACTATTCCATTTCCACTACCATCTTAAAAAGGAGACTACCTCTGTACCCAGTAGATACACGCAAAACCACGCAAGATATACAACATCCTCCTAGTCAATATTAATTATTGCGTAAACTTCAAACTATCATCTGGAGGTCATTAACTGCGTAGGAGATTTTATAATGCTACAATATTATACACGCTAACACTAAAGCATATCCCAAACTATCCGCGCTCGATGTATCGCTTAAGTAAAAATTTAAGTAGTATTTAGTTAGACCTACTGTTGAGCACAATCCTCCTCTGTTTTCTGAGAGGGTTGTATACCAAATAATCAACTGCGCCGCATTAGTACTTGATGGTGAACGTTAATTGTCTAAATACGAAATACTTCGAGTATTTCGTATTCCTCTTCCATGTAGGTTTCCTCACGACGTTTTCCTTTACCGCTGATTACGTAGTAAATCTTTTGCAATTGCAATTTTATTGATGTCCGAAGAGATCGAACCGGTGTTGCTCGCGTCCCCAAAAATTTATGGCGAGCTCTTAGCGCTAAGCTACCACGACTCAACAATTTGCGAATTTGTACAAATGTTAACACCGGCTGGAGTTAAAAACCACGTCCCGCAGCTAACTGACATTCTCTGACCACTGGGTCACACTGTTGTCACGAACAAATTACGAAGCTTTTACACTTTAACTCACGTACAAGATATTTTTTAATTTAGTTAAAAAGAGCGTTACATGGAGCGGTCGGTGAAAACATAGCCTGTAACTTGCATTTGTGATGCTACATCTAATTTCTATGATTTGTGTGAGTTTTTTGTGTATAATTAGTTAGTTATTAAGGCACATATAAGTGAGATTGCCATTTAAATAAAAAGAAGTCACATACCTCTCACACGTTCGTCTTTTTATAATTTGTTAAAGGTCAATAAATTTCCTTCCCAGGTACTATTAGCAACCTTCATCGGCTTTGCCGCCGCGGCTTTGCAGCCCTCATACATTGACCAGTCGAACCGTCCCCAGGCCGCATACGAAAGGAATGCGCGCATCATCGCCTTCAACTCGGACGTGAAGGAGAACTCATACAGATACAACTATGAAACTGAAAACGGTATCAAGGCTGAGGAACAAGGTCAAGAGGTAAGTGTTCCCACAGTGGGCTTACTTAAGATATAATAAAAAAGATGTTAAGACTAATTATATGATTTCCATGGGAAAAAGATAATTTCAGTGTCTCTTAACTAGTTTGAAGATCACCTGATGGAAGTATATATGTACGTGGTAGACCCATGCTGCAGCTATATTAATAGTATAGTTGTAGCACGAATGGGTCGGCTCGACCGGGGAAGGACCACGCTCTCACAGAATTCCAGCGTAAAATAGCAGCTTAACAGTGCTGTGTTTCGTATGGTGAGTGTAGAGAACCGGCGACACTTATTACTGGAAAAGAGGCATTCCATCTTAGTCCTCACGGGTGACAACGCATCTGCATTTTGATTCTTTATTGAGGATAGATGTGGATGTCTATGGGTCACCACTTACCATCAGGTAGACTGTGTGCTCGTTTATCACCCTATCCTATAAAAAAATGTGCACTTGCTGTTGCCTAGTGTATGCTATCAATACCACTATACCTAACACCACTTTCCCCCTAATATCACTGTTCTAGGATTAACACTACTAGTAACATTATATTAATACTATTATTACTACACTAGTCGATAGTACAGTGTTCCATCTCCAAGCGAGGCACCATCAGGACAAATATTGTACTCGTAATCTGAGTGGCTAAACGCTGATTTATTTTCACATGTTTAATATACTCGTAATGGATTCCCACAAAGTTACACCAGATTTTATAAAGTTACAGTATTGAATTTCGTTTCTAAAGGATCTCATTAATCCGTACTAGCGTTCCCTAGACTTCGATTTTTTTTACAACTTGATTACAAAACCTTACCTCTGCCATTTTTCCTGTAATGTGCATGCATTATACAAGTTAACCATCCTTAAATTATGGTGAAATCTCACCAAAATCCAGCTTTGTCATAAAATATTACCACCTTAATTTGAGTGAATAGGCTTTTATAAAGCTAAGTTAATGCGTTTACCATATTCGGCTACCACTTACCGTTAAGTGAGATAATAGACAAACTCTGGCTAATAATACCTTAAAAATATTAACAGTTTGTTATCCATAAATCGCACAGGCTTAAAAATGAACTCTCTTATAACTTTTAAACGAATATTATACTTATAGGGTACCATGTGTACTATACCAAACACTTAAAGGATACACACACATTTTGTGCAATATTTGTTCCGAGTCTCCAAACTCAGACCCGGAACAAATATTGGAAAGCCGTAAAAGTAACTGCCCCCCTCACCCCTCTATGGTTCTCGTAGCTCAGCAGCCATATGCTTATCCATTGCGCTTCCTAGGTTCCTAGGTTCTTAGCTATAGCGATCACATTATACTTAACTAATATTTCTAGGGATTCAAACCTCGTCAAAAACGTCTGGTCGTCGAATATTAATGCCATTAGACCGTAGCCATAAATAAAATGTTAATGTAGTACATAGATCAAATGATTCATGAGATTATTTGAATAGAAACAACACCTGCAATGTCTGACCCCTAGGGTGACCATAACGTATTATAATGTGAGACTTGGTACAGACGTTAAAATTTCTAATATTTTCAAATAAATTCTACTTTAAGAAATCATATATTGTGGCTAAACAAAATGTGTAAGTATAATTTTAGAAAATAACTTTAATATCATCCCTGCCGATTCTTTGCAGTGAATTTGTTAGATTAGTGTTACCTGTCGAATTAGGACCACGTTTTCATAGAAAACCCGCGTGATTTAGCAATATATAGCTGCTGTATTTAGTATGATGAGTGTAGACCCTTATTACTGGCATATAGGCATTGCATCTTAGCTTTCGAAGATGACGAAAGTGTGTACGGGCTACAGTATTCACTGACCTGGGTGGTTTTATTGCTCTTGAGACTTACTCTTCGGTAGAAAAAGAGATTGACGACAGTAGTATCAAAGACATGGTGACATGCACCATACTTACATTAATTTAATGTTATTGTGAAATGCATAAATTTCATGCTTGCTCAATTATATTCAGTATGCTTTATACCAAAACAGGTTAAGAAAACTCGTAATGAATTTATTAAATTGTCAAACTCCATAATAAATTAACCGATTCGTCAATATTAATTTCCATTTATTTAAATTTATTCATAAAAGAGATGCAATAAATGTTAATAGTAGTAATAAATAATTTAATGCGATTTCATTATAGTTGAAAAAGCTATTTTTAGTTTTATTGAACAGCTTTAATAATATCACTATGTTATAATATGGCAGTGGTTGAACTCAAGCATCAAATTTTTTAGTAGCTCACCTACTAAGAAAATTAATGCTTGAGTTCAACCACTGGAATGAAATACTTGGTAAAAAATTTATATCTGGATATATGTTAGCTTGCTGATTAAAAAAAACATTGTAAATAAACGCACATTTTTGATAGATAAAAAATATTTCAAAGCTAACCAAAGTACATAAACAGACAGACAAAACAAGCAAATCCTGTTGAGATCTCATTTTTACTTCCTTTCAAAAATAAGAAGATACTAAGGTGCGGACCAAGAATCGGTAACACATTACTTCATGGTGATTTATAAAGAATAATGTAAAAAACGTTTCAGTTGTTTAGGTAAATATAGGCTGCGATATAATATTTTTGGATTTTCGATATCATGGCAATGGAAAAATATAATTCTATATATTTTTATATTGGAATTATGTCCCTGTTTTTTACCATTTGAAATGAGTCACCTTAATGAGTCACTTGCGATGATCCAATGTGTTAAACTGCAAGTCTTGAATCTGAGAAGGGCAGTGATCATCTCTACTGACAGACATTTGAAAGGTCATGGATATTATGTAAAAGGCTCTATTCTGACACTTATATGTACATTTATTATATTAGGCCCCCTTTTACTGGAAATGAGGCATTCCATCTTAGTCCTCATGGGTGACAACGCATCTACATTTTGATTTGTAATAGAGGATAGATGTAGATGTCTATGGGCCGCAGCAGCCACTTACCATCAGGTGGACTGTGTGCTCGTTTGTCACCCTTATGCTATAAAAAAATAGTACACTGAATACTATGCACATGCATTGCATTCCATTGCGAACTCTATTGTAATGTTACTTTACTGTTCTTGTTTTCATAAGTTATGATTTTTAAATGAAATTAATTTATAAAATACCTAAATTTGAAGAACTAATCGATAGCTTGAGGAGATGTTTATTTTTTTTACTAATATTTTACGAGCATTTATTATTGTTACTGTAATTTTAAATCGTCAAACTAAACAACATAGTTTGAACAAATTTAATTTGAAATTACATTAAATATCCCATAAATTATAATATATTATATATCTTTAGTATATTAATTAAAACAATCGTTTATTTTCCCTAATCATGGCGAGGTTAATCATTGATAATTTCCTTTTTCGCAAATAATACACTAATGTAGATCAATACGTATTATTTTCATTCATAACTTATCGTGCTAAGATTTTTCTGCCTTAATTCTAGTTTTGCGACACTTGAATAGTGGATGAAATCACCATGACGAATAGGAAATTGATATGAAAAGTACATTTGAGAAGGGCATGAACAACAACGCAAACTGTAATTCGATACAAAAGATCCAGTATCATAATTCTCGCTGTTAATATTATTTGAGAAGTAATTAAATGTCAAGCCGTAATAAATATTGGTTAGCCATAAAAAACAGCATTTAAATCATTTGGTTAGCGTTCAAAGATTCAGTTTGCAATTTAAAAAAAAGACAGACAGGCAAATGGTGTTATAAGTAACATCATTCAAATATTTATACTTATCAGCCTATTATTTTACATCGGATACATTTCCTAAATTTTCATAAACGTGCAACGCTCTTTTCAGGTGGAAGGTATTGAAGCTCAAGGTGGTTTCCAATACACTGGCGATGACGGCAATGTGTACTCTATAAGCTACTCTGCGGGTCAGGCTGGATTCCAACCCCAAGGCGCTCACCTTCCTACTTCTCCTCCCATACCCGAGGCTATCCTCAAGGCTTTGGAGCAAAACGCCGCTGACGAAGCTGCAGGTATTATCGATGATGGTAAGTTAATTTTTAATCGAGACAGATACATGAGTAACCAACGTGTAGTACCTACATATGTATACGATCTAGTATATTCTAGTCGCAAATCACACAGACCAGCAACTGAAAGCAGCGTTAGACAGCTGATATCTACTGCTGAAATCGTGGCAAAGCCGTCCTACAATAAGAGAGACCCATATTCAACAGGGGATCTACTTATCTAGATTACATTCTTCTCGTGTTTAATGTAGTTATATTATACTCAAAACTAAGAAGAATAAAGTTGCATTTTTTTGCATAGTTGGTTGGTTTTGGTTTTTTATAAGCGCGACTACTAATCTGTTCGAATCCGTGTCGGGCCAAAATAAGTTATTGCGTTTTTCTGTATAAAGATCTTTACAGTAGTCCCGAGTCTAGAAATAAGACCCACAAAAATAAATACTCGGTAGATTGTTATAATACTCGTATATTAGTTATGGCAGACCTTCATTAATACATTTGATATTTTATACAGTACATTTTGCATAGTTGTATCGTAAATCACTCAGTCGCCTCTTCTAAGCGTTTATCTCACTAAATAGACTGACCTATCGCATTACTCCACCTATATTGCGAACAACGAACGAATTACAATGTAATGTGGAAATAATAGGATAGCTCTATTTCAATTCGCAACATAACATTATACAATAAGATAATTAGGTTCCACAATTTTTTACAAATTATCGAATAGATTTATAATTTCACATAATCATATTTAAAAATATGATAAAATATATCTCTAATTAATTTATTTAAATTATATTTATATTTGCTTAAAATTTATTTGTAGAGTTATTTAAAATAACGAAGCTCATTTTTATTAACACCTCCTAAGAGTTATTGGCTAAAGGTACGAGTAATAGAATTTTTGACCTCCATCTATTTTACGAATAAAGCAACCATTGCGGTTTTTAAAATTACAAACACTGACCACATGTTAGTTAAAGCGACTATGTAAAACAAATCCGGGCTTTCCTCTATGCATATTGCATAAGCCTAAAAGGTCACTAGCAGCTTAATTTAGCGAGTGCCTGGTTTTTGTATGTACACTAGTAGAGTGAAAGATCTGACACTAGTCTACGTCTAGTAAGTGCCGTTTCATCGGATTATAAGTGTGAGGCAATAGAGAGTGTACGTGTGCTTGCGTACACACTCGGGCACTATAATTCTTTCCTGCGCAGATGGCTAGTCTCAAGTTCTATATGCTATAAGAAAGATAAGAAGTCTCACCAATATTGAAACAGCTGAAATAGTTTATTTTAGTTACTTTCTTGACTTGTCTTATGGAATTTTGCTATGGGGGTAATGCAACTGATATCGAAGCAATATTTGTTTTGCAAAAGAGAGCCGTATGGGCGATTTATGACTTAGATTGTAAGAAATAAACATATTAACTTTGGAATCGCAATATATTTACGAAAATGTAATGTGCATACATAAAAACATAAATAGCTTTGATAACAATAAATATGTTCATACTTTAAACTCTAGGAACAAACATAAGCTTGTAATACCAGTTACTAGACTCCACAGAGTTAGTAATTCATTCATCATTTATTTTACAACAAAACCCCAGAAAATGTACAAAATTTGTTAATAAAGAAGTTTAAATGTTTTATGAAAGAAAATTTGTACAAAAAGAGTTATTATAATATCAAAGAATATATAAGCGAAAAAAAAGCCCTGGGATGAGGTGATCGCAACCATGCTGGTTCTATTAAAGCTCATTCAAAATTTGTTTAAAAAAAAGTCCCGCTGGGTTTCTTGCTGGTTCTTCCCAGGACAGAGGTATTTTCCGAACCAGGGTAAATAAAAAAATATTTTCAATTAGTATTATGTAATAATCTATATTGGGTAAGAATTATTTTATTCTATTCTATTCCCCATCGAGACTGGCCATTGTGACCGTAATTCAGTCATGAGGACATTATTATTATTATATATAATGTAGTTGATAACCACCGATAACTCTCGAAATATGACACAGGGTTTCTAATTGGTCAGGAGAACATCGACCGCAAGGTTTTTTTTCGGATTAATCTCCATTTCCTTTTCAAAGTTCGAATTGACTAATGCATGTTCACACTACTTCGAAATACATATATAAACTTATCCGCTTCACACGCTCTAGCGTCCTTGCACTAAGTATTAGGCTCGGCAGTGCCATTACATATTGCACTGACCTTTGTGCTGTTTCACAATGACCTCTCACTCTTAAATTGCATTAGTGAAACGTGGAACTTTGTTTTATAACTCGCCTTAAATCGATAAACATAAAGCTTATTTCAGTTTGGTAACCTTTTTGATAGGATTACAAATTATAATGCAATACTATTAGATTTTAAGATGAATCTATTAACGTTTTAAATTGATTGCGTGGATTTTAAATATAAAGTGAAGTCGAATTACTGATAGAATCAGTGCTACTGTTTGGTTTCACTTTAAGATTTTAGTTTTTATTTGACCTTTGACAACTCTAAAATATATCAACTAATTCAAGAATCTAGAATCGCTCTTTCTACCTAAGTATCTATTATAATTATTCACATGGTAGAGCCATGCTGCAGCTATATTAGTATATTAGTAGTACCTATAGTCGTAGCACGAATGGGTCGGTTCGACCGGGGAAAGACCACGTTCTCACAGAATACCAGCGTAAAATATCAGTTTAACGTATGGTGAATGTAGAGAACCAGAGATCCGTTTTACTGGAAAAGAGGCATTCCATCTTAGTACTCACGGGTGACGACGCATCTGCATTTTGATTATTAATTGAGGATAAATGTAGATGTCTATGGGTCACAGCAACCACTTACATTCGGGTGAACTATGTGCTCGTTTATCACACTGTTCTATAAAATAAAAAATAAAAATAAAATATCATTCATTCGTTCAATACGGTACACATGTTCCGTGCGGAATTTGAACCTCTACTCCGCAGCTATACACTTAACCACTACGCCACCGAATGGTCTCCGTGATGTATATGAATGTCTCCATGCTTATAGGCAGTCTATCTGAGTTCTCACGACTAATAACTCAGGAGCTAAGTACTAAATTAGATCCTTGCTGTCACAAATAAATTATATCTACTACGTGCTCGACGGTGAAGGAAAACATCGTTAGGAAACCTGTATATATGGGAAATAAAGTATTTTGTGTATGTGAAGTTCACCAACACGTACTAGAGCAGCGGACTAATCACTTTATATTACTCTCAGAAATGAAAAGAGGTCTTTGCCTAGCCTTGGAACATGGCTATGCTCTTAATCGTTAGGGGTGGTAAGGCGTCTGTAGCCTTGATTATTTAAGGTGATAGCAAGTGATAATGGGTTGCAATACTTACCATTATATGGACTGTTCGGTCATTCATCTCTTATATGATTTTAGAATTATTAAGTTTAATTCCCGAAGGATACTGTGCTACCCCTATGTCATTCCGTGAGTGACGTCAGAGGCGTTAGAGGGAAACTCAATCAGAAGATAGGCAGCAGCATGTTCCTGATAGGAATGCAATAATTATATAAATGAAATTGTGCGTGTCAGCTCCGAAGCATGACTGGAGTTTACTTTTTTATAAACAATAAACGATTGTCTTAACATATATACACTATGCAAAGGAATTAAATGAACCAATATTATATATACCATGCAATATATATAAAATATGTATTTGAAAAGATTCTTACGTAGTATATTCCAAACACTGTGGGAAATTTCTCCAATAAGGATGGCCACATTTACTACATTTTAACATCCTCTGGGACAAAATAGTCTTGAATTGTAATGTTGGTGTTGTCCATAATTTAAATGCGACCATTTCTTAATTCCAGGTCAATACAACCCTGGCAAATACGGTGGTGCTGGTGGTGCCCAACAGCAGTTCCCGCGACCCCAGTCCGGATTCCGACAGCCCTACAAGTTCTAAACGATGTAACCCTTGCCAGTATTAAGTAACATTTTATAAAACGTGAAATTTTCGTTAAAAAATTACAGCAGTCACTAACTTGACGGATGTGATATAATAATTTAAAAATATTCAATGCGTAAATCAATGATTTTTATTTTATTTTTAGAAGATATAATAATCTGTGATCAGTATAGTTGTCTCCTTTTTATCGTAATTTCCTCTATTATTTCTGCTTTAAAGTAATTTTAAAAATCATTGATTTGTTCCAAAGGAATGTTAGATATTTTAAAACTGACAAGTTACTGCGAAGCTAATGCTCAAAGTTTTGGAACGAAAATTTTACATCTATGTACATCGAAACCTTTCGTAATAGTACGGTTAAGATAAAAGTGTACGTGATCAATAAGCTTATAACAATCAAGAACTTTGTATTTTATAGTCATAACGATTACTAGTGATACATTTTCGAGGCGTTTATTTATTCTATGAATAAAACATTTTATACGATTTCTGTAGCACTGATATTTTATTTCTTATCCAAAGCCAACGGGAGTAGAAAAAGAATGCTGAGTGAGGGCTAATAATTTTGTGCTCACTAGATGTCACTAGTTGACACTGAGGTAAAGTTTTTTGTTACACAATGTAAATTTAATTGAGAAGTTAGTATTTAATAAAATTTTATCAGTTTCTAGAGTATTATATTAATACACAAAACAATGCGTCAGTGGTTTGCACTTTAATTTTTTGCACATTTTTAACATTATTTCAATATCTGTGGTTTGGTTTATTTATTTTTAATGTTATTAATATAAAATCTAGCTAACTGCTAGGATATATGTCAAATATTATACTGTTGGTAATGAGGGTAAAAAAAATAAAAGGAAATACAAACAAATGGAGGTAGAATGGTAATATCCCACTTGTTTTAGCAGTATAAAGTATCGAACAAGCGGCTAAGAGGCATCAGTCTGTAATTCTAAGAATCCCACTGTCGTTACTATGCCCGTTGGGGTATTCTACTAGTGTAGGCAAGGAAGGTCGTACTGTTAGTTTGCATACTTTGGCGTTATCGTGTAATTGGGTCCTGATTGTAAGCAGGGTTTGTTACCGAGTAGTGTTCTTTTATTTAAATACTTTTGCGATTCATTTCTAACATCAGAAGTGGAATAGTTTCTTACGATACCTTACTTTCTAGTGGCGCCGCCCTGGTGCCAGAAAAAGTCGTGGATGCCCTCATTAAGACCATTGAAAAGATTGCAAATCTAAGGCAATATCTGATACATTACATGCATATAAAATTGTGTACCAAAAATATGCTAGCGACTTTGTTTGTTTATGAGACGAAACAATACGAATATTAGCTTCCGCTGTCATATAACAAATCTTCTAAAATTTTAATTAAAAACTTAGTTTGAAATAATTATGAGGTTCCATATTAAAGACTTTTGTTTTAAATTTTAAAGTAACCAATGTGCACTTTGCACCCCATAGGAACATTTCATATTATTGATTATTAGAAATAGAACTTATTGCATTCTTTCGATTAAAATCATAAGGGATATTTTCGGATAAAACACCTACAGCCTAGATCACTTCAGCGACTGATCATGAATTGTAGATCACTTCAGCGACTGATCAGAGCAATATATCTGCTCGTGAAGCTTTATTCAAATCGGTTTAGTCATTCGGAAAAATAGCCCGAACAGACATACAGACAGACAAAAATATTACAAATGGCTATTTATGACTTAATGACATGCAAATAATTCCCTAAGTTCGATAAAATATAGTTATTTCTATACTATAAACATCAATTTTATTTATACAAGATGACCCGAAACTCAACGTCAAGCGGACACAGAGCGAGAGAAGGGGTCATACCGACCCCGGAAAAAATCCATATCAGTTAGTTCAGTTATAAATGACTTTATGAAAATGAGGAAAATCGATACCTTAAAGTATATCATTAGGTATTGTCACAACAAAATTCTCAATTTTACTCTAATTTTTTCACCGACGTGGTCTTAAATAGATAACATAACATAAACACTAACGCCTGTCACCCAGAGGGGTAGGCAGAGATTATGGACTTCCATTTGGCACGATCCTGACACACCTCTCTCGCTTTCTCCACGTCCATATACCTACGCATACACGCTCGTCGGTTAATTTGGCCCATTTTTAATATATCGCCAATTTGGTCGATAAATTTTCGCATAGGGCGACCCTTCCCGACTATGCCGTTCACCTCTGCAACATAAATTTGCTTTGTCACTCTTTCCTCATTCATTCTTTCTACATGGCCAAACCACCGAAGCATTCCTATCTTAATCCTGGTCACAACATCATCAACCACACTCTTCTCTTATTAAACAATTTCTCACTCTGTCATTCAGATTCATCCCTAACATACTCTTAAATAGATATGATATTTATTAGTCGCAGTCACAACTCAAGCAAAAAAAGTTTGCTAGGTTTGTTAAAATTAACGCAGTTTCGTTGGTCGTAGTTGAAAAAATAAGGTCACCTAACTTTGACTCTTCATTAAAAAATAACAGACTGTGCTATCCTAGCACTTTACTTCAAAATATGGTCCATTTATCCTAGATTTTAAAATGGTATAATATGTATGACTTTACATTCTTACAAAAAAAAAACAAAATTAATTTGATTTTCTGAAATAAGACCTAAAATCAAAACAGTTTCACACCTACACCACAATATATTTTCATCTATTAAATAACTTGGTGGAAGACCCCGAGGGGACTACTATGACGTAGTATAGAATTTCATTCAAAAAAATCGTGAGTTCTGGGGTCAACTTCCCAGTACTTCAGTACGTGCAATTCAAGCACGGGAGTACCTAAAACTGTCCTGCACCGAATTTTGAAACGTCATACATACCACCCCTATCATGTGAGACTAGTATAGAACTTACTAGCAACACAAGTACAAAAGACGCGAGTTAAATAATAGAGTGTAGCGTACTGCGTAAAATAGCAGTAAACGCTGCTGTATTTCGTGTGGTGAGTGAAGAGAACTGGAAACCCTTTTTACTGGAAACTAGGCATACCATCTCAGTCCTCAAGGTGACCACGCACCTGCATTTTGATTATTAATTGAGGATAAATGTAGATGTCTATAGGCTACACCATCCACTTACTATTAGGTGGACTGCGTGCTCGTCTGTCACCCTTATTCTATAAAAAAGATATAATAAGTATAGGTTAATAATATTGTGTTATTTTTATTTTAAAAAATATTCAATATTATTAACATATTATGCATGTATGGCCGTTTGTTGTCAAAGTAAACATGGGTATTTACAAGGTTGCATTGCACTAAAAAATAGCATCTTGTGAAAGATTTGCATACATTCTCTTTATTAGTAAAATTAGTTAGGGCCAAGACATCAGTGTTGCTGATCAAGTCTAAGAAATTTCGTTTCAACGTTTTGGGTGCAATTTATTCCGTCAGGTCGGTAACCAGACTTATAGATCGTGGGAGTGATATAGATAATATTATATAACCTATATCACCCCCACGATCAAGACAACTTTAACGACACATGTTAAAATCCATGAAACCGTTTAGGCTACTGTACGTCTATTTCTTTGGCACGCTCAACTCTCTTTCGAGTGTATGTACACTCGAAATACATTACCCACCGTCTCGGGCAGTAGGGTAAAAATGCTGACTTTTGACCATGGTTCATGGAGTATCTAAATACACATAATCAGACTATTAATGAACTAAAAAAAACTGGTAAACATTTTTTTTTCTAAAACTAAATATACCTTTTTTATGAACTACTATAGCCCAATATAATAAAAGATGTTTGATTATTTATTTTGTAAAAAGTTATTAAAATTCTTTTATTTATTTGTTTATTACTTGAGACATCTATCCTTACAGGCCGAACCCAATGCCATAGTGTCCTCATTTTTATTCTATACTAAATCTCACTCTAATAATATTAAAATATATTTAACTGAACAAACTAATAAACCATATAAACACTTAGCAATATAAATTAAATATACAAAACTCAGATAAAAAAATTACATCGAAAAAATGTAAAGCAATATTGAAATTCATAACCTATCACAACCCAGATGAACTTACCAACCCATACATGGGTTTTAAGAAATAAAAAGTTCTACCCTCATTATTTGATTTATTTAAAGCAAGTTGTACGTATTTTTAGAAGATTCAGCCGTAAACTGTTAACGTGGTCACGGGGGACTGAGGTGTTTGACGTCCTGATGTCATAGTTAGCCCGGCTACCTTCAGTTTTTTAATATTAATTTTTGGTTCGATTTTCGCAGAATGAGCTTACAGTATCTTGAAGTCTAGCAGTGGTATACTTGGGTTTGGATTTAATTTTATTAATTATGGGATCCCAAGCAGATGGCAGCACCCATCCATCTTCTCTATTGAAATTAGGATGTTTTTTAACTGCATATTTAAAGTACCATAATTCCATAAACCCTAAAATACAATTCACAATGGAGTAAGAGGCAAACAATACTTTAGCTTTCCTAGATGTTTTAGTCATCCGAAATCCTTATAACACTATGGGTCACTATGTACAGGAAAAATACCCATACCAACAAGCCACAGTCGAGCGTGTGCCTGCTGTACTACCCTATGTCAGAGGACTCACAGACAAGGTTGGCTACATCTTGAAGCGAGCTTCCATTAAAACATACTTCAGGCCGCTGAAGAAGATTGGTCAATTTTTACGATCCGTCAAGTGTCATATCTCTCTACAAGATGCAGGAGTGTACAAGCTGGATTGTGAATGTAGTTTCTCGTACATAGGACAAACAAAAAGATCTATAAAAACCCGCGTTAAAGAACATATAGCTGACGTGAAGCACCGACGTATCGGGAAGTCTGCAGTTTGTGAACATGTTCAAGATCGTCCCCGCCATTACATTAGATTTGATAGACCACAAATCCTCGCAAAAGAACACCGATTCCTACCAAGGATGATTCGCGAGGCTATTGAAATT